GGAACTGTGGTAACTCAGCAGCCCCTTTCATTAAGATGAGCAACAAGTGCTACTAAACGCTGTTAACACCATCAAGATCTTCCAGTGTGCTGGCATTAACTCCACCTGAGCTAAATGACAGATGTCACAGATGTTCATTCTTATGGCCTGTCAGCACAGTGATGGATGATGTCAACCTCAGCACCAACCCCAGTTCTTCATCACTAGCTCAGCACTTCCCCCAGGAGGCATAACACACATCTGCCAGCCGGCACTGGTCAAGCATAACCCATTGTGCTGCTTTTGAAAGATTTCTCTCCTGGAGCCAACCTAGAATGCAAGTCTTCCTTCCATGGGGTAAAAGCATTTAACAGAGCAAGGGAAGTGAAAAGGCTACCAGCATACTTTCCTTGTCACTATGAACAAAAATACTTACCCCACTTGTCCTGGAATCTTGGAGAGCAATTTTCCAAGCCCTAAAAGGAATAAATGCAGCAAGGTAAGAAGAAGGGGAAAGAAGTTAAAATCCACTCAAAAATGTTGTTGAACTTAAACAGCTAAATTATAAATGAGAAACCACACTGATAGCATTAGAAATGTGTTTGAGGGAGGGAGGGAGAGGGAGAGAGGGAGAGAGGGAGAGAGGGAGAGAGGGAGAGAGAGAGAGAGCGCACCTGCTTTGCATATGCAGAAAGTCCCAAAGTTCAGACCCTGCATCACCAGTAAAGAATCTCAGTTAGCTGGGAAACACCATTTCTGTCTCTGAGATCCTGGAGAAGTACTGCCAGTCTGAGTCACTTAACCACAATTCCCATCTAAATGCTCAATATCTCAATAGTTTAAGATTTACACAGTAATTTAAATGTGCACATTACAACCCTACATATTACATGCTGAGGCCTGGGTCTGGTAAAGGGGCTACTACTTAAAAGGGAGGTTCTTCTACTTGCAACAGCAGCGACAACAAAACAGAAGGAGCTGGCAGAGCCTCAGCCCTTGGAAACTTACAAGCAGTCATCAGCACTTTCCGCACAGAGGCTGAGCACCTTCCCATCACGGCAAACAATCTGCAGCAAGCAATCTCTAGGCTTGCCCTCAGGAGGCTGCAACCCTGGCCAGAATAAGGGGCAAAGAGAGATGGTTTAATTTTCTGTGGAGAAGCTAATTGTTTAAAAGTGCAACCCTATTCAGAATCACTCTAGTCTAAGCCTACTAATATCAAGGGGCTTGGACTGGGGTAGCTCTCTGTAGGATTGCACTGTAACTCATGTAAGGTCAGATTCTCAGAAGTGGCATAATGTAGGGAAGGGGGGTGAGCCCGTCAGCCAGCAGCTAAAGCAGAGTCCTATAACTGGCAAAGGGAGCCGCTACATCCAAGGAGCAAGGACATGATGCATTCTCCAGGCATTTCGGCAGGTCACTAAGCAGCTACATATGGAGGTTTTCCAAGCAGAGCTTTAAATAGTTCCTTGCACAGATCACACCTTTTTGGAGGAGTGAGGAAGAATGGTCCATTGCTATGCTGGGCCAGAATACCACAAGGGTTTTTCAGAGCATATAATGATAGCTGCAGACTAAAGAGTTTAGAATTTCTGCTCTCCACTGATCAAAAAGCAGGATAGAAAGTAGTCACAAAAACTAGACAACAGTTCAGCTCTGTTCAGACTCAAGGGACTTTCGCAGAGGAAGGAAGGAGAAAACAAACTTTAAAAGTAGTCCATACAAAATCAATAACCTGAGCTGCAAATCACTTCATGAACAGTTACTAGTCTACCTGCCCACATATTTTTGTGACCAACTTTGTGACAGAGCCAGGACTCTTCCAACATAAGAAAGGAAGCATTCACAACTGTTTGAGGAAATTCCTGCTTGCCAGGAACAACTGAACGACTGGCTGTCTTACAAGCCTGCATTATCCACCAGGTCACTTTTGGCAACGTGCAGTAAGTCAAGCTCTTTTGCATGGCCAACTGACTCCCACTGAAATACTGCATTCCCCAATATTCCAAGAACTTTCTCCCAAAAGGTGTTGGCTTTGCAGCTGGCTCTTTTGATAAAGCAAAATACCTGCTTATTTACTATTATGGATGCTAACCAATAACAGAAAGCAGAGCTAGTGGACTCTTTATGAGCGGGAAAACTACAAGTGCAATGTTCTATTCTTAACAAGTTAAATGACCTGACCTTAGAGCAATACAGACATAAGAATTTTTGAGGGTATAAGAATTTCAAAAATGACTTCCAGATCCAAATTATCTGATGACTGTGCAATAAACACAGCCTAAAAACATTCTCTTTTCCAGAAGACTGCAAAGATGCACTCCAATAAGTTATGCTTATCCAATTAATTGTGAACCAGAGATTCTATTAATATTTGTATACTATGGAGGCTAGCCAAATATAGCTGATCAAATTTCAGCCCTCCAGTTAAGCACAGACAGTCCCCTGGCCAACACAGACTCAATACCTGCACAATATACATTAAATCAGAATAACTGATTTCCTCTCGTGCTCCCCCACCCAGTGGATTAGGGCAGGCAAGATGAATTCTAATTACCTATAGAACAATTCTATATAGGGCTACCCAGTAACCACCACAGACCTACATTGAGAGTTGTAGAGAGCTGGACAGTGCCTCGTGTAGCTTACTTTTTTTGGAAGCCATCACAGTAAGTTGCTTTCATTCTCTGGCAGACAAGTCTGTATGGTGCCGCAAAGCTAAGCAGTGTTTCTAGAGAGAGGCAATAGGTGCTTGCTTGTAGAGGAGAATTAAAAAAAAAATAACTATAAAGAATGTCATTTTCACCTCGGCATTCATTCCCTACTCTGACATTGATGCAGTCAATTTTCATGTGGATTCTGTCTTCAAGATCCTGCCGATGATTATCATCATAAAACAGCAAGTGACCCTGAGACCACAGATCAAACCAATTCTTCTTCCAGCGCCGTAATATAGTACCTGAAGGAACGAAGAAAACTGTTTTGGCAATCACTGACAGGAAAAATAGCTTCAGTCTAGCACGAGGTTCAAAAATTCTTCCAAGCTTGGGATGTGATCTGCTAAGATTGCAGGGCCTGATATTTCAAACAATAATGCAGTTTTCACCAAAAAAACAATGATAATTTGTGGAATGGAAGCAACAGAATTCCCATTTCTTAAAAACAGAATTAAATTTCACAAAGGTTGACCAATGATTTTGTACTTAATTATACTTCTTAATGTGCTAAGTAAGCCAGAAGACCAGGTTGAGTTAAACTGAGTACTCTGTGTACAAGTAACAAGTGAATATCAAGAAAGATTCCCTGAACCCTGTATGTAGCGGCTACTTGGTTTATTCTCACTAATGACCTATAAGACATTAGGCAGAAAAGGAATACTTCTGAACAAGTCATTTAGATGGAGAGAACTCACATGTTAACTTTGCCGCAAAAATAGTACTCTTAAGCAATGTTCCCTCTAAGCTGTAGAGTCCTGTGAGCAAAAATTCTACTTTGTGAGCTACTGGCATTAAAGTTGTGAGCAGGTGATTTGGCTACTGCATAAATTAGTGTGTTCTGGAGCCCTCCTTCCTGAGCCAAGACAAAAATCTGTGAGCCGGAGGCTAAAAACGGTGAGCTAGCTCACACTAACTCAGCTTAGAGGGAACACTGCTCTTAAGTATTTTAGTATAGACCAATAGTATTTTTAGAGAAACAATCCAAATGAGAATCTAGCTTACGTTGGGTGATCCACACACAAAGAATCAAACTGCATGTTACAGTGGAGATCCATGACTGGATCTGCTGATTTATATTTCTTTTAAAAGAAATGCAACTATGGCAGGGGGGGGGCACTCCAACCTGATGATTGCAGCAATGCAGGAAGGGACATTTAACCACCACCACCACCACCACACTGTCTTCCTGCTCAGGGTTGCTAACCACTACCACCAGTATAATATCTAGTTTGGCCCAAAAATAGTACAAAAAGAGGAGAGCGGTCAGAATCCATTACTCACTTTGCCGGAGCAGCCAGCCGCTTTTCATCAATGCCATAATCCAACTCTAGAAAGAAGAGAAGAGCAGAGATCCTTCAATATAGCACAACAGCAGTGGTACAAAAGGGACATCTCCAGGTGAGCTGTTTCTCAGCATGTGACAGGCTTCCTCCCAAGACATCTGCCACAGATTAGGTTAAAGAGAGACAAGGATCTCCACAGAAACACATTAATGTCATATTACAAGAAGTCTCTCATCATAATTGCATACTGGGCCCTACCTACAAAGTACCCCAGAGTTTTCATAAAACTTTACAGCTTCAGTTTCTTCCGCTGAGAAGCTACCAGTGTCTTGATGAAATCACAACACAAATGACTCTTCAGAGCATGAACAGCAAGCAACTAACAGTCGCCAAAACACACTACATCATAAAATGAGTGGATGCAGCTGAAATAAACTCTTTTTCAGCTACTGATTTTTCCTCTTAATGGCTGTTACACCACACCCAATCATCTCATTGGACAGGGCTCTTAAAAACAAATAAGCTGTATTTTGGTAAAAATCTGACAACACTAATATTTGCCCAAGCACTGGAATTACTGCTTCCACTTATTGCAGATGATGGCTAGTTAAAGACAGGCTGAAATTTGCAAGCTAGCAGTAATGTGTACATTATTTGATAGAAGGTCAATCCTATCTCTGTGTAAAGGTAAAGGTTCCCTTGCTCGAAAGCCAGTCGAATCCGACTCTAGGGTTGCGGTGCTCATCTCCGTTTCAAAGCCGAAGAGCCAGCGCTGTCCGAAGACGTTTCCGTGGTCATGTGGCCTGCATGACTAAACACCAAGGCGCACGGCACGCTGTTACCTTCCCACCGAAGTGGTACCTATTTATCTACTTGCAATTTCTTGCTTTCGAACTGCTAGGTTGGCAGGAGCTGGAACTAGAGACAGGCGCTCACCCCGTCTTGCGGCACCCGGGTCTTGAACTCCTGAACTACTGACCTTCCACAGCCTGCAGTTCCTCTCTGTTCAATGAGGTTTGTAAGAGTGCACAGGACTGCAGCCTCAACAAGCAAGGGGGGGGGATTCAGCTGGTAAACACTGATAAACAAGCCAGCCAATGAAAGAAAGAGAACAGTGTACACAATGTCAGTGGAGCACTGACCACACATGTGGAATTAATACTGCAGTTTCAGGAACGCCAGGAATCAAGTTCCATCGAACTCAATGGTACTTACAACACAGTAAATATATATATGTATCCTGCACACATGAATAACCTTTTCTCTTGGTCAAGTATACTATGGCTTTTTTCCAACTAATAACGAAATATAGCCTCCCAAAACACAGTATTGGTTATCTTCTACATGTATACATGTGGTCAGAGTACTGAAGCCTGAATCTTCCCTCCTCTTTTCCATCTCCATGTCTGATTTTTTAAATATGTTCAGAGATATATATAAATCAGATATATATCTGATATATCTACCAGAGATCCCTTTAAATGAATAAGGTGGGGATTGAATTTGGGACCTTCTGCATAGAAAACATGAGTTTTACCACTTAGCTGTTCAGCCATTTTACAACCTCCCAGTGTTAGGCACAGCTCACAGGGCTTTTAAGGGACAGATGAAGTAGGCTCTTCAGAATAAAAGGGGGGAAGTTAGAAAGTTTTGGCTGAACTTCTGGAATTCTTGAAAAATTAAAAGAACAGTCTCTTGAAATTGCTTTATAGACAAGACATGAGCACACAGCACACCCCACAACACATATCCTTGAAGGGGAAAGTACATAATTTAACCATCCAGAAATTCCTTGAAGCTACTCTGGCCTGCGCAATCAGGTTTCATCTTGTTTCACAAACCATAAATAGCTGGTAATTTTCCAGCCATTACCAACTAGCTTGAACCCTAAACTATTATTTTCACTGTCACACTAGTAACAGAGCTCTAGTAACTAGTTCTTCTGTGTGGGGCTCTATTCATACTTCAGAACCACTCTGACATGCTCTGGTCCAACACATTTATAAAACATGCAGCTTAAGTGTAGCACTTTTGTCTTCACTGGAGTAAGTTAGGGACAAAAAAAAGGGGAACATGTGATTGCATCTTTGGAGGCCTCATTTGTACTTTTATTCTGTGCCTAGTGGTTTCACTTACTTTGGAACAATTCTTTTCTGGTCCATTTTGTGTATTTGTATAATGATATAAGACAATTTGCTCCTCATTGTGTTTGACCTCTGAAGAAGGCCTGAACAGGCCAAAATGCGTCAGGTCTAGTCTATTGGTCCTTGTGTATTTGATTTTGGTATTTTTGTATGAGATGTAATTGGGCCCTTATATGTTTTTTTAATTCTTTGCTAATAAATACATGCATTTTTATATGTATATATATTAAGTTTTAATTGTTGGCCCTCTACTCTGTTTGACATACCTCTTTAGGTTCTTGTTCACTGGAGTAAAACCGTAACAGCAGTTTTATTAAATTCTACCATTAGGGTTGCTGGCCTTTTGTTTTCCTAACAAGTCTGAGGTGTCATTAACAAATGCATAAACAAGCAGAAATTCCTCATTTCTGCTACTTACACAGCTATTAAAAGATCTATCCGACAGAGATCTAGAATTATATTCCACTGTCATTCTAAAACTAGTTGACCTTAGAGCTAGCTATCCAATACTACGGGGAAACTACCCCCTCCCCCAACTTGAGCAATTACTTGGCAGTTCTCCCTCGTTGCAAGCGATAAGTATCTTAGCAAAACATGGAACTCCCCATCTACGTTATCCAGCTTAGTGTAACCAGTGAATGGCCGCAGTATTTTTCTTGATTAGCTAAGATCACTTTATCCTGTACAGTATTTAACGCTGGAATCGAATTTTGTTCTTTAAGACGCCAAGGGATTGCTGTTTGTTTACCGAAAACGAGGTTTACAGGATGGTAAGATCCACTCAATGATCTCCCCCTGAACTACCGAAGATTTAACTCCCCACCACCTTCTCCTCCAACGTCATTGTGAAGGCAAATAAATAGAGCGAATGGGAAGGCAGCGATTTAGACCCGAAGCACTTGCTACAGTCCTAGGGATTACAGAACACGGTGGCATGACCTCACTGGATTTGATGCTCTCTCGTCCAAACAAGCTACAACTAAGCAGGCAGTTGCCTTCCCCCCGCCAGCAAGGCTCTCTCTCCTCGGCTGACTGGAACCCTTCCGCTTCCAACTGACCTGAAAAGTACAGGCGACTCTAACCCGGACAGACTCCGACCTTCCCGCAAGCCCCATCCCTAGCCCCTTTCCACCCAAAGTAAAAATGCAGAGGGAAAAACTCCCTATCCTCGCCTACCTGTTGCACTCTGTGAAACTCGTACAAAAGCCAATAGATCCTGCTTTTGCTTTTCCCCTGGTTAGTTGGGGGAGGACAAAAATCATACGGTCCTGTCTCCCAGGTCTTCGACGTCACCTCTGTCCTATGATCAATTGCGTCAATCAATGCAACTGCGCATGCTCACGGGGTTTGATGGGAATTGTAGTTTTTGAAAGCGGAAGAGGCTTATGTGGGCAAAAATTCAAATACATCCTTGGTAGGTGATATTAGTTCCTGATAGGGTTGCCAGCCTCCAGATGGGGCCTAAAGATCTCCCGGAATTACATCTGATCTCCAGACTACAGACATCAGTTACTATGGAGGGTAGACTTTACAGCATTATACAGGGCTGAGGTCCCTCCCCTTCCCATATGCTGCCCGCCCAAGGCCCCAACCCCAAATCTCCGGGAATTTCTCAATATAAAGCTGGCAATCCAGATGAAACAGGTCAAGGTTTTTCTCAAAATCTGACCAGATTTTACTGCAATTGAGGTAGCCTGTTTGGAGACACTCTTCCTTTCCCCCTTCCTTCCACTGAAACCAAAGCTGCATCTTCTTTTACTTAAAAGCAAAATCAATCCTGCCAGTCTACTCTTACCTTTACTACTGCTGGCTAAGCACTTAGTGCCTAGTTGTCTCACAAATCAGATCCCAAGCATCAAAAGGTGTATAGATAGTTCCAGTGCAGCTCCATGCAAGACATTAGATGGCTGTAAGAGTTGGCTCAGTGGCATTTATTTATTTAATTCGATTTATATCCCCCCCCCCCAGGCAGGTTCAGGGTGGCTTACATTAAAAGTTAAAAGAACTCTACTCATTACTGTCCCTGTCTCCTGGCTTTTTGCAGGCAGCCATCCCATATGGGCAGGGGTAAAGGCCAGAATTTAAAGTGCAAGGCCAACCAAATGACCAATAGTTCAGTGCCCAATGTGAAACTAGGCTCATTGCTGTGGGGTTGCCAGCTATAGTGTTCTAGCCTAGCTCCAGCACTATTGTATGCTGCTTGACAGTTGTTTGGCTTGAATAATAGGGACAGTACCTACAGTCCATCTGTGGTTTTGAGACACACAGAAGTAAGGTAAAGGTTTCCCTTGCTCAAAAGCTAGTTGAATCTGACTCTAGGGGGTGGTGATCATCTCCATTTCCAAGCCGAAGAGCCAGCACAGTCTGAAGATGTTTCTGTGGTTATGTGGCTGGTATGACTAAATGCCGAGGAGCATGGAACACTGTTACCTTCCCACCGAAGCGGTACCTATTTATTTACTTACAATTCCTTCCTTTCGAACTGCTAGGTTGGCAGGAGCTAGGGCCAGAGATGGGAGTTCACTCTCTCCCATGGCACTAGGGTCTCGAACTGTCGAACTACAGACCTTCCGGTCTGCAGCTCAGCATCCTAACCACTGAGCCACCGCAGCCCCTGACACACAGAAACCTTACCAGAATTAGAGTGTTTGGTAGACAGGTATTTTCCTCTGTTTCTGATTGACATTAGCGGTCTTCAACCTGGAGGGTGTCTTCCAGTGCCTGCACAGTTGTGCTGTGGTAAGAAGGAGAAGTCCTCAGGTTGCACAATCCCCTGATCACCATTGCATTTTATAAGCCATGCAGCCTGCATTATTTGGGGGGGGGGAGGAGATGGGGAGGGATGGAGTGCAGTGGTTGCTGGGATGAATAGAAGCAAGAGGTGATTATGACGATCCCCTTGCATGAAGTGAAGGAACAGATGCAAAATCTCAGTTGAGTGGAGTTTATTCAAGGGCTGTCTGGTAGCTGGCCTCTGCAGGAGTTGAACGTGTGACATCGTGTGCTATATTTGCATTTCCTCTGCTGGAGGATTCCTAATGCCCTATGCTGGGTCTGATAACCATGTGCTCATTTAGACGAGTTGTTAGAGGACTGCTCCAGAGTGTATGAGGTGTGGTTTCTAGTGCCACCTCTTCCTTCTGTTTTGCTGTTGAATGATTTGTTACTGACCAGGATAAGAGCTTTGCATTCTGTTAAGTCCGTACTTAACAAAGTAGTCAGAGAGTGATTTCAGAAAACTCAGGTTTATTCAGCTCTTCAATCGACTTCTTCTGACACGGTACAACTCTTGATAGCCCGAACATTTGTCATCTGACAACTTCACATTTCATTGCAGCTAGTTCGGTATTTAAACACTTCGGGCTAATGTAGCCACACCTACTGTACATTAAACCAACCTATCAGGTTGTGTGCATGAACGACCAATCATAAGCGGTCCCGCTTACAAACATTCAAATCTGATTGGCCACAATACTTTTCGGCGCGAATCCCTGCCGAAGCTTGAAGCTTTGCATGGCTTCTCTATGGGAGGATTTACATACCTCCTAATGCATTCAGGCAGCATCTGAATACATTACAAATCCCTCCCCCCTAAGCAAAAACAACTACGAACAATCATAATCGCTCAGGTAGGAAGGTGCTCGTCTCGTTCTCTGAGACCGTCTCGGTGGACTCGGCTCAAGGCTCAATTCCGTCAGTGGCACTTCGGTTGGCTCTGGGACCTCAGAGCCAGGAACACTTCCATCCGTTACACCTAGTTCGAGAGGAGGGGTCTGCCCAGCCTCTGGAACAGTGCTGATGCCCTCAGGCCCGTCAGCACTCGCCTCCAGGGGAGGTCTCGGAAGGTCCTCGGGGTCTATTGACTCAGTTGGCAACGCGTTGGGTCGGTCAGTCGCCCACCGTTGCCTCAACTGGTCTACGTGCCTACGCCACTTGCGACCATCAGCAAGTCGTACCACATA